CTGTGTACTGAGGCAGGAATCTGCCATTCTGTGCTCAACCTCAATTTTGACAGTGTCTCTGCTCCATGACCTGCACGAGACTTGGAGACTAGGAAGCCCACTGAAGCTCTGTTTCTGTGTGTTCAGTACCTTTTTAAAATCTTTTTAAGCTTTTGTCAAGTTTTATGTGGAAATTCACACCAAATGTTTGGACACCATTTGTTGACAGAGGTTTCTGTCCCTTCCGGTCCTGTAGCCATGTAGTCCCAAATAAACACACAGAGGCTTATATTAATTATGAACTGTTTGGCAGATGGCTCAGGCTTCTTGTTGACTAGGTCTCTCTTAATTGTTAACCCATTTCTATTAATCTATGTATCTCCATGTAGTCTGAGCTCACTGGAAAGTGCCCAGGCATCCTATCCTCCCAGTAGCTACATGGCATCTCCCTCGTGACTCACTCCCTGCATTCTTCCCAGCATTCTCCTCATCTGGTAGCCCTGCCTATCCTTCCTGTCCAGCAACATCCTGCCTGTCCATTGGTCAAAACAGCCTTATTAATCAACCAATGAGAGAAACACATATTCACAGCATACAGAAGGACCTCCACCATCAGAATGCACCATCACTGCTCTGTAAACTGTAGGGTCTTAATTAAAAAAAGAAGTATCTCGTCTAACACCTTTTTGCTACTTGGTCATAAGGCAAGAGTGTTGAGGAGATGGAAGTCCCAAGATGAGAGACTGTGTGTCTCATCTCCCAGAACTGTGCCTGGCATGAGAAGCCATTCAGTGTGTGTGGTCAGGCGAACCGTCCCTATGATGTCATCAAGGTTTTTAGTCCCTGGGTAAGGCACTTTAGAAAGCCGTGGGACGGCAGAGGGCATTGACTCCTCTGCAAGGCAAAGAGGAGGAGTGGGTAAAGTGTAGAAAGAAGAAAAAACCAGATGGCTCAGCGGTTACAGCGCTGGCCACTCTCTTCCAGAGAACCTGGTTCAACTCCCGGCAGCGCACAATTGCCTGTAACTCCAGCTCCAGGGATCTGACACCCTCACCCAGACACATATGCTGGCAAAACATCAACGCACATAGAATAAAAATAAATCATTTATAAAACAAAACAACAGAACAAAACCAAGTCCAGAAGATTCTGATTTAGTCTGCTGTGGGAGTTTACAGGAAAGTTGAGGACAAACAGCAGGTTCCTTTACAAAGCCTTCCTGTGCCTCAGGTTAGCCTTGCCCTAGGCTAAGCCTCAACCTTAGCCCTAGTCTGAGTAGTCTGCCTAGATCACAGTTGTTCAGGGGAGAAGCCCTGGCTTCAGGAAGAAGAGATTCTTTCATTGTCATCATTCTGGGCCGGACACTTCCCAAACCAGAATCAACCTACACAAAAATGCTGGGTGAGACACGAGTGCTTAACCCCCTCCACAGAGGAGCTTAGAAAGCAGATGCCTGGAAGGGCGTGGCCATCTGAGCTGCAAGCCAACAGCGGTGGTGAACACAGAAATCATATTAACTCTCAAAGTCAAGATGCAGAGAGAAAGAGTCAGAGATAGAAGGACCCACAAACTCACTCAAGAGTTTCAAATATCTGTGGTCGTGGAATGGCCACTATGTGCCTGGGGCAGTGCTGGGTGTGAGAACCAAATCACACAAATAGATCTGCCAAGTGGGAGGCTTAACATGGAGGCTGCGTGGCAAACATTCTAGGCATTGTGAGCTCTCTGTCTCTGTCTCTGCCTCTATCCCTCTCCCTCTCCCCTTCCCTCCCCCTCCTTTCCTCCCTCCTTCCCTTCCTCCTTCCCCCTTCTCTCTCCTCTCTGTCTCTCCCCCTCCCTCCCTCCCTCCCCCCCTCTCTCTCTCTCTCTCACACACACACACACACACACACACACACAGCCAAGTGCTATCTATAATACTGAGCTCCTTCCCCAGCCCCTTCCTTTCAATAAATCCTCTTTCAGGTAAGAAAGGAAACCTCACCATTAGGCTTGGGGAGAAAGAAATACAGGCAAGAAGCCTCCTACTATGCTCCAGACTTCTTCTCAAACATACCTTTCTAAGGTAAATTCTCAGGAACCTATTGTACAGACCTGGGCCTCCAATGATTTTCGTTCCTCTACAACCAAACAACTTGGCTGAACTCAGCTTCCAGTTCCCAGCCGTCCAGTTAAACCTTATCAGCTGCTCACGTCAGAGGCTTAAGGCAGAGAGTGAGCCTCGCTTTTCTCTCTGATCCCCGGCCACAGCAGCACAGCACCCTAACAAACCAGTTCCCGGTGGCCTTTCAAAGGGCTCTATCAGTTGTTTTTCCTCCCCCCCCCACCCCCCAGAGACACGGGAGGAGGGAGGGGAAGAGATGGGGAGAGACTGACTTTGGAAGACTGAATAGAGTCTACAAGTTTTCCACAGCTCATGAAAATTGCACAGATGTCAACTCACTGGAAAACTGCAGGCAACTGGGAGTGGGGTTCAGAAAGAAGCACAAAGCAAGGCCCCTCAGCTGTGGGAGGTCCCCCTCGCCTGGAGGACAGAGCACACCTATCTGATAGCCTGTGGTGCCGCTGTCGGGGAAGGGAGTCTGCGGGCCTTCTAGCCGCTGCCGCTTCCACAGCTGAAGACCCAGCTCCCCTCGGAAGTCTATGAGAGACGCCAGCCCTTCCCAACCTGAGTGTAAACAGCCCCTAGCCTCTTCCCCTGAGCTCCCCAGTCCCTCATACTTTCCCATGAGGCCTCCCATACCCAAGTGTCCTGCAAACCAACCTGCCGGGGAGACACAGGGTAACTTTTAACTGATTAGAAGCCTCTCAAGATAACTACCTCTTCCTGTTTGGTCCTCTGGCAAGGGCTCCCTTCCTTAATTGGGTCACAAGTGACTTTCTTCAGAGGTACTATTCCACAAGTAGAAACCAGGAGGGTTCAAACACCACAGAAAATGCGGTACCTGGCTACTAGCAAATTCCACTGTTGTCTTCTCTCCGGACCTCTTGCCACTGAAAGAGGTGTGGACAAAGGAGAGAGTGCAGGAAAGAGGAGACCGTGGGAATGGACGAGAATATGAATTTGAAAGCTCACAGGCCTTTGTGAAGCAATGGCTCTGTTCCAAGGCACTGAGAAGGACCAGCCAGGGCACCAGGGAAGGCCTCTGACAGACTAGACACCCAGGAACAGTAAGCCCTGGAAAGAGAACTGGCCGTGGCTCCCGGCGCTTCTCGGGTGACAGGGAAACCCCACTCAACCACAGAATGATGGCCTAATGTCTGCACCCTGCACCAAGTGCTGAGTCAGTGAAGCGAAGAAGTTCCTGTGTGAGCCCACTTCCCATTACTGTAGCAAAATGCCAAAGACCGGATAAGTCATAGGTAAGAGAGGTTCGTTTTGGCTTACAGTTCTAGAGGTAAGAAAGTGCCGGAACATGGTGCTAGCATCTGCTCAGCATCTGGTGACATGCCAACATGGCAGAACGAGGGAAGGACCCAGGCTTGTATCAGGGGCCTGTGTGCAAGAGAGGACAGACCTAACTCCCTCCCTCCAAAAGGGTTCCACTTCGGAGAAAACTAACTCAGTCTCTTGACATTAACCCACTCTGGGGGTAGGGCCGTGTGACCTAATCACCTTCTACTAGCCTCCATCTCTTACATTCCTGTCACCATCAGAGACCAGGCTTCCAGGACATAAGCCTTTGAAGGAGAAACCATATCCACACCATAGCGGTTCCTAATGGCGATGTAATAAGTAACTTTATTGAAAACTCACCGAGTGCAAGAAAGGCACTAAGCAAATGTAATCTGCCGGGCAAGTCTGTGAGCTACACACAACCATCCTGAGCACTTTAGTGGCTGGGAAGCTGAGTGCAAAGAGGTAAAATGTCTGCACAAGCCATGTAGCTATGAAAAGACTAACCCTGCGCCTGGACACAAGGCAGTGACCTGCCACAAAGTGTCCACTGGGCTTCTCTGTGATGGAAACCACGCTTTCCAACAAGGTAGCCTCAAACCATGTGTGCTGGGCATTTTTTTCACTCGTCCATTCATGCATGCATGCAGTCTTTTTGCTTTTTAAAGGACATCTTTCTGTGTCACCCAGGCTGACTTAAAGCTCCTACACTCACGTGATCCTCCTGTCAACCTCCAAAGAAACTGGGGTTATAGGTGTTTGGCACTGCACCAGACCTGTTGAATACTATAATGTGACTAAGGAAGTGATTTTCAAATCTTATTTAACCTTTGATGAACTTAAATTTAAATACCACATGTAGTTAGCTACCACTTCAGGGAGTTCAACTCCAGAGGCCAAACTGTTAACACTAAAGATTACTGTGCCTGATGTGGGTAAAGATAGTAACGTTGGAACACGCTTCTTTATACATAGAACATGGGAGATGTGTTCCGGTGAGCTATTGCTAATGTAATGTCACTGTGTTATTTTCTATTTGACAGCTACTCATATGGCAAACTTATTTTCTAATCACAAGAGTGAATTTTTTTTAAAAAGTATCTTAAAGCATTTTTAATTTTAAGTATTTTTAAGAGTAAAAACAAGTGTGTGTGTGTGTGTGTGTGTATATGTGTCACAAGTGTGCCAATGCTGTGGAAGTAGGAGGAGACATCAGATCTCTAGAGCTGGAGTTACAGCAGGTTGTGAGCTGTGCCATGTAGATATTAGGAACCCAACCGGGTCCTCTGGAAAAATAAAAGCCTTCTTAACCACAGAACCACCTCTCCAGTCACCAAGAGAAATATCATTTTTAAACCACAATAAAAAACATATAACACTTGAGTCATCTTAGTTACTTTTCTATTGCTGTTGTAAAAACACCTGACCAAAGCAAGGTATAAAAGAAAGTTCTTAATTTGGCTTCTGGTTTCAGAGGGTGAGAGTCCATGATGTCAGAGTGGAGGTACAGCTGTGAGCTCACATCCTGATCCACAACCTTGTGGCAAAGGTGTAACTGGGCATTTCTCTGTCCCGCCCATCAGTCCCACAGCCGCTTATAAAATAATCACTCAGAGGCTTAGTATGAATGTTTAACGTTTGGCTGATGGCTCAGGCTTATTACTAGCTAGCCCTTACATTTAAATTAACCCATTTCTATTAATCTATGTACTGCCACATAGTCGTGGTGTTGCCCCATTTTCTAATCTTGCTCCATTGGTGGCTGGCGGCTTCTCTTCCGACTCCACCTTCTTTCTCTCTACAGCTCTGCTTGGATTTCCCACCTAGCTATAGTCTGCCCTGCCACAGGCCAAATCAGCTTTATTCATCAATCAATAAAGTCAACACATTTGCAGTATACAGAAGGACATCCCACATCACAGAGGGAATGGGGGGAGACAGACAGACACTCAGAATGGTCTAAATCTTCTGAAGCCTAACATGCCTTGTCCAGCAAAGGCCACATGTCATAGTCATTCCCAAGTAGTTCTATCAACTGGGGACCAAGTCATCAAACATAGGAGCCTATGGGACCATTCTCATTCAAACCATCATAAGAGTCAAAGCTCTAATCCCCTCGCACCAGCTAGAAAAGTCTACTTAAAAGTTTGTTTTAAGCCCACATGCCCCTGACTGCACACCAGAGATGCAAGTGGATCAGACCGGTTTGTCGTTCTATGGCATTCTCTTCATTGGAGACACTTCCTTCATCGTCCGTGTTGACTGCTCTTGTGTCCCTTTCACTTTTCACTGAGTGGCTGAGTCAGATTTTAACTCTCCCTTGATCAATGGACATCTTAATTATAAAGTTTTGCGTTTGAAGATGACACATCGAAGAGTGTCAGTCTCCACGGAGCTGCAGTTTTGTGAGTCTGCTCCCTTAGTGGCCCTTCAGCAGACCCTGCTATTCACTTCCCAAGAGGCATCTCTCCAGCTCTTCTTTGCTAGTACTAATAGAACAAACTCAGTTTTTGTTCACTCAAAGCCCCAGGCCTCAGACTCGAGTCTTGATTGGTTTAGGTCAACTAGAATGATTCCATTCCCACTACGATGATTGGTTAATGCCTGGGCATCCAGTGCAATTCTGCTCTGTGGGAAATAGCAGAGAGTGGTCGGTGGTCTTAGAAAAAAATAAATAAAAGCAAGGCACACAGGGACATCCTGCAAATCCATCATGCAGAGTGTTGCATCTGCCTTTGGCCACCAGAAAATCTAGTAAGATAGCCAGGCAAAGAAGCCGAGAATGGGAGAGGAGGAACAGAATGAACTCAGAACTGCAAAGCACCAAGCAGCCGACCTAACTAACCCTGGAGCCTCCCTACCTCTGGTCCTCTTAGAAGTGGTTTTCTTTCAGGTAATTGAGCTAAATTAGGCTTATATTAGTGTCAAGAGCATGCTAACAAACACAAGATGAATTGCTGGTTCAAAGGCAATGTACAGATTTTATTGTGCAAGGAACCACAAACTAGCCTGTTTCTCCTTCTATCATGATGCAGAGGAGTTTCAAAGTCCTGGTTATACCTTCCATCATCTGGAATGGGGGCTTTCTTGCCATGGAAGGTGAGGCTTATTTGGTGCAGCTCTCCATCAGGTACCCGTCTACTGATGCACGCAGATGATACTGAATTAAACATGAACTCAGAAGTCCATCCAGGCTGAAGACAGACATCTGCCAGAGCATGCTTCTCAGCCTTCCTCATATCACATTGCAGGCAAGAACTGATCGCATTTTAGGGCACACTGGGGTCAGGGGGCAATGTTGCTCAAAGCCCGTCACTTTCAGCCTAAGGATTACAGTTGTCTTAGGTGCTGTGTGGTCTCTCTGAGAAAAGAAGAGAGCAAGTTTTGGACCCATCAGAAACTCATCCATGGGCCACTGGTTTGGAATGCTTCTTTGAAATGATTCATTCAGATGCCTCTTAAAAACCAATGTCTGATAAGTCTTATGCTCACAGAAATTCACTCCGTTGGTCCCTCCTTGTGTGGGCAACGAAACCTCATTGTCTTCAGGTGTTATTGTTAAACATGGACAGACCTGCAATTTGACATAATAAGAATACGTTTCTGGAGGTGGGTGATAGTGCTAATTACATGGCCAACACTGTGAAGGCACTCAGGCATCTGAATCCTTCCCGAAAACGGCATGTATTATGTAGTGTAAAATTACCTTAAGGAAATGGAGAAAAAAGTCTTAGCATCAAACCCGTGCGGGTGTCAGCGACTTGACGGCAGAGACAAGACTGGACTGCACTTGGGCAGGAGAGATGACTCAGCGGCTAAGAGCACTTGCTGCTCTGGCAAAGGACCAAGGTTTCGTTCATTTGGCTCATAAACATCTATAACTTCAGTTCCAGAGGAACTGAACCCTCTTCCAAAAGCAACAGGTATGCATGTAGTATATATACATACATATATACATAACACTTCTACACATAAATACAAAAATGTTCTTTAATTACTGAACCTGTAATTTATGCCTCTGATGACACAGATGATGATTATACTATGTGGCAAAAAAAAAAAGAAATCTAGATGCAGACACCTGAGCTTTTAATAAAACCCCAGTTGATTGATCTTATAATTCTCTTTATGTTTCACTTGGTAATCAAGACAATAAAACTGACATGACAATTCCCCCTATGGCCTTCAGATCACTGTTCACACTGGCCACCAAGGGCTGTTCAGGTGTGCTAACTGCCCCTAGTCTCCAGCTGTGCTGGAGGAGCCTGGAGGAGCACTAAGTGTGCACTCCCCAGCTCCCCCCCTCCCAGGCTGACTGTGGCTGCATGCCCCACCAAAGGCTGTCACTTCCACCAGTAGGAGGTGGACAGCCATCTCCTACAGCCTCCATTCCCATGGAACCTCCTCTCCCCACTGGAGAGCTGAGTGGTACCAGCTGCCCACGCTTCCTCCCTGGTTCAGCCTTACCCTGGTCTGTGAGGCCACCCTCATCCTTTAGACCAGCAGTTCTCAGCCTGGGGGTCCAATGACCCCCAGGGGTCACCTAAGACCACCTGAAAACACAGATATTTATATTACAATTCACAACAGTAGCAAAATTAATTACAACATAGCAACGAAAATGATTTTATGGTTGGAGGTCACCCAGCATGAGGAACTGGATTAAAGGGAGGTTCAGAACCATTGCTTTGGACTATTCCTTACTAAAACCCTCCCCAGCCTCCACCTACCCTAGCCTCCACCCGCAGCTCAGATACTTTTTATATCCTGTGTCTTCGATACGCTTTGGCAATAGGCTATTCTTTAGATTTCACCAACTAAGTATTATCTCTAATATGCCAACCAAGGGGTAAAGAAACATTTCTAATATCACACTTCCAGAATTAACTGATGATTACAGTCAAGCAAAGTTAAGGTTTGGACATTTTATCCACAGTGTGCTTGAGTGACAGTGTCTCTTTTGGGCTAGTATTACCAGGAACGCATACGGAAAGGCCTCACCAGCAAGTTTCCTTGGGTGTTCTTCTATGTGGCCATGCCAGGTAGGTCTTCCTGCTCTCCTCCTACGCACACCTCTGGCTGCCATCGTGTCCGCCCAATGCTTCTCTAAGGGCTTCCTAACTGGGATTCTGCTTCCAAACACTGCTCCCTCTCATGACGCCAGAATGTTTCTACAAAAGCAGGGTTGGTGGGCGTTTTCTGTGTTTAAGATCTTTCATTGCTCCCCGTGGCTTTCAGGACCAGTTCAAACTTTTAAATGTAACACACAAGGCGCTCATAGTTTTCTCCAACCCATCTCCAGAGCTTTGCTTCCTGTTGCTCCCACATGCCACATGTAAAGGCTTGCTAATTCCTAAGCACACCACACTGGTGCATAGCTCCATGAGTCTGCACTGGGCTCTTCCAGTAACTAGAGAGCCCTTCCTTCCCTCTCCAGGTGTTTAGGGTTCAGCTCCATCATCATTTCCTTCGGGAAGCCTCGCTGGACATTTCGAATTGACGGAGCAGCATTCTGTGTCTGTACCTTCCCTGAAATGGCACACCCAAGGTTTCCGATGCCTGTTAAGAGCTCAGAGGATGTTGAATGAACACATTAATGCAGTTTATTTCCTACTTCTATTACTTTTTCATATTAACCAGGACACCTGTTGAAGAAATTGCTATTCTCTCTCTCTAACATTCAATTCTGCCCAGTGGCAATGTGGGCAATCCGCCCAAAACAGCACAACAAGCTCCAAAGCAGTGCTATCCCCACCTTGGAAAACAAGACATCTGCATGGAGCAAATACCCGGGACTCGGCACCGTTAATTTTACATCCAGACTCCCAGGCTTTATAGCACTATTGTCAGATCTGGAAACAATACCCACTGCTTGCAGTGGTTCACAACCTTTCTAAAGCTGAGACCCTTTAACACAGCTCCTCATGCCGTGATGACCCCCAACCATAAAATTATTCCCATTGCTAATACATAACTGTGATTTTGCTGTTATGAATCATAATGTAAATATCTGATGGGGGGACCCCCAGGTTGAAGACTGCTGCTCTACAACACAACTATTCGGAACAGACAAGAGCCCCCCTGAATGCTGGGTGTGGTGGCTGATCTGTCTTGTCTGTCGATTTGACACACCTGGGAAAAAAGAGCCTCAGCAGAGGGACTGCCTCCCTCAGGTTGGTCTGAGGGCATGTTGGGGGTGGGCAGTATTCTCCTGATTGCTGACTTGTGTAGGACGGCCCAGACCACAGTGGACAATGCCATCCCTAAGCAGGTGGGTCTGGGCTGTAGAATGAACCAAGCAAGGCAGGAGGGACACGCCTCCATGGTCTCTCCTTCAGCTCCTGCCTTGGCTTCCATTGACGACAGACCGTGACTTGTAAGTCAAACAAGCACTTTCATCCCCCAAGTTGCTTGTGATCGATGTTTTATCACAGCAACAGAGAAACAAATCAAAACCGAAGTTTTAGTTCTCACACTAAAGCAACCAGGACAATTCCTTAGGTGAGGCTCCCTACTCGTGATTCCAATCTATGGCAAATTGACATTAAAACCAACACATGGTTTGTGCCTAACTTCTGCCAGACTTTCAGCCTGGGTTAAATTACTTCATGTTTATTCCTCAGCTTCCCTACCTGTGACACGGGAATGAACAGCTACAAGGATTTGGCATATGAATGCTTCTAATACTCACCACAAATTAAGTACTGTACAACTGTGTGCTGGGGTTCAATCGCTGTGTAATCACATTGGCTTATTTTCCTGTGAACTAGCAAGAAGAGAAAGGCTAAGGAGCAGAGTAAAGAGGCCATCTTGGTGGTGGCTTTTTCCTCAGGCGAAGCCTCTGCTAATTTCCCTAGCGTCCAGCTAATGAACTTGTGGCTCATATTCATGGGAATCCTCACCAGGATTACCAGAGGTCTGCTGAAGGGACACTGTCTTCCTGCATCGGGCCATGTGGGTTTCTAGTTCTTATCTGTCACCTACAGCAGTGTGACCAAAGTTCTGTCATTTCCCCCTACTTGTAGCCTTTGCATTTTTAAGACTTCAACCTGTGTCTGTAGTGATCACCCCAAGGAAGCCCCTGTAATTACTCTATGTACTGTCCATCAAGGACACCTTAGGTCTCCTAATGAGGAGCTAAGCAAGTTGGTGCTTCCAGAACTCCACACATGGACCTAATGGCGGCACACCTGTGGCCAGCTCCTGGACAGCCCGAGAAGAGTGTCCACTCCGTTTCCAGTGATTTAAAGACTTTCTGAGGGGCTAGAGAGATGGTTCGAGGCTAAAAGTGTATGCTGCACTTGCAGAAGACCCAAGTTCAGTCCCCATCACCCATGTTGGGCAATTCACAGCTGCTTGTAATTCCAGCTCCAGGGGAAACCCATGTCTCTGGCCTCCCAGGGCATTGATAATCATGTGCATATTCCCACAGATAGGCCATTAAAGTAAGTTTAGAAGTCCCCAAGGAGTATCTGAGTACATGAGCTTTTAGAATCAATTATTTTGGACTCCAAAAGTACCCAAAATCCTAGACTTAATCAACCAAGAACCTGTGGCCCAGTGGCATAGTGCCCTAGATCCTTGCTCCAGATATCTCCTAGAACCATGCCCATAGTTCCCAACCTTTGCATTTGAGGTTAAAAATGTTTTAAAAATAATGAAAGGTTACTGGTGTTCAATGGCATAATTCAGCTGTACCTTTCATTCAGTTCATTTTCTGGTAATGGAGCCTGGGCTATGTAAACTGGGTTGCTGGTGGCAGTGCCCTTTGGCTCAGCAAGCTGGGTTAAAATAACAAATGGCCTTCCCAGCATTGCCTTTCAGCTCATCCCTGCCATGCTTACCAACCTTCTGGATGCTGGTGGCACTGTCCACCTTGAACATGGGAATGAACTCCAGGATGGAGATCTGAGCTGATTTTGCATGCAGCTGTACCCCCAGCCCCTAACACCTGATGTTCAGTCGGTATCAAGGTTCTGGTCACTCAATGACTAAGGTCTACGAAAAAAATGTCAACTTGATGGCACATCCAGCCTGCTGGGCCCTACTCCTGGGCCCTACGCCACCAGCGTAAGACACAAGCCTTCCTATCTGGCTGGTCTTTTAATTAACTCATGGCCACAGGCAGGAGACAAAGCAAGACTTTTAACCAAATCATTTTTATAACCAGATGGATTCAGTGGGGGAACTCAACCCTTGCTCTTACTTCAAGTCCTGACCGGATGACCACAGTCCCAGCCAACCACTTCACCCACACCCTCCAAAGGCCACGGGCATTCTCTTACAAAGTTGGTTACACAGTATCTTGTAGACACTTTCTATCACAAAAGCCAGGAAAGAAAATCCTCCTTACCAGGAAGCATACCTTGTATCTTGAATGAAAACAAAAAGAACCTGAGTTTGGATTACTTTATTTAACTGCAAATATAGAATTAGCTACCTTTTGGGTAGAAAGGCTAAGAGACGAAGCTCAACGACAGATGGGAAAGGAGGAGAATGGGTGATGGTCTCAGAAGAACACCTGGGCTCTGGGGGCCACACACGAGAGAAAACCAACTGCAAAGTCCCTCCAGGAGGCTCCAATACTTTCCCTCTCCCTCCATTACCTCAGCGCTAAACTGCGATATCGGTGGTGAACTTTTGTTTTTTAAAATCAAGGCTTCCCAGAGACACAGAACATGTAACCCCAAGGCTTATGAAGCATTCTACAAACTGTGCCTGGCGGTCCTTTAGGAATTTACTTGCCCGGGATCACCAAAGGAGGCTTCGTGCCTTCTTGCTCATCCCAGGTGTCACAGCCTGGCACCCAGAATGCATGTGTCAGATGAGTGACTTTGTTAATAAAGGTTTTGTAATTCCTGGACTCCACCAGCTCTCCAGCCAAATGCTCATCAATTCAAACTAGGGCAATGACCACAGAACAAGACACAGTTCAATGCCAGTCACTGCCCCCTGCACAGAGCAGCCGATTAACTGCAACTTGCCAACCACAACCCACATTCCATTAGGGTCCAGGAGAGCAGTCTCTCCATGTAAAGTACCTCACAACCCCAAAGTATAAACACTATCCTCATAAATGACTGTCAAAATGCTTTCTTAGAAAACGTACTTCTTTTCCATTAACAAAACCCACTTAAAAAAAAAAGGAAAGAAAAGAAAAGTGAATCAGGCCTAAATCAGACTCAGAACTGAAACTGAATCCCCAAACCGGGTCCTTGCAGGCTGGTTTATCTAACAGGACATTTGAGTATCTGTGGCTTTGGCACAAATGCATTTCCTTCTTTAAGGGTACAGCTTGAACACACCAACACACCCATCAATAAACGTGTGGTCCTCCTCTCTTTGCTCAATAAGTGAAGCCAGATTGTTTTAGTATTTTTAAAATACCGGGGGGGGGGGGATAAAATCAGAAGTCCACCAAGGTAAGAAGAAAGTGTGGGGGGAGGTGAATACTCCCTTTATGAGATCTAACCCATTGGCTTCAAGGCGGTTAGTCAAGTTCTTCTCAGGGCTCTGTGGTCCCCTCTGGCCTGCCCCTCCCCCAAAGGAAAGGTGCAACGACGTGGCCAACAGGGCCACCAGCTTGGCGTCCAGGGCCCTCGCGGGGAGGCGGCGACCACAGCCTCTAGAGACAAAGTTCTGTAGTGCACTGACTTCTATCATACTCAGAGTCGAAGTGTCTCAGAACTTTGCCTCAAAAGACCAAACCGGCTGTCTTCCTCTAGAAGTTTCGTCCTGCAGGTGTGCTCCCCGCCACCCACCACCCCACCCCCAGCGAAGGCAAAGAATAACTCATTATAGGCAATTTAGCTCAGGATGAGACCAATAGTGGAACGGATCGTTAATTGTGGAAAATTACTGCCGCGGTCATCAAGAATAAAAAAGCCCAGCAGAAACGGTGTCCTAACAGACTCTGGTGGCAATGTCACTGCAAACCGCTGGAATCACACAATGCCCCCTCCTTCCTACCCACCCCAACCCACCACACATACCCGATCCAGCCTCCACCTCCTCAGGGCCTGTTACTAAACTTTGGCAAGAAGCTAACTCACTCCATCTAAGTTGTCGTAACTTTTTACCTTCCCATCTGGAAAGTTAGTGGGGGCGGGGAGGATTGCAAGAGGACGAATTCCTGGAGCTGGAGTCAAAGCCAGAGAACACGAGCTGGAGCAATGCTCCGCAGATGGGACGTCCCGGGAAAGCCAGGCTCTTGGAGGCCTCCCCTTCCCCCAGCCATTCTCACCACGCTACTCCGGTTATCCAGCTGCCCGCGCACAGTCCCAGGAACCCGCGTCCACGCAGCCCTGGCCCCTCGGTGCCACCCACTCTCCCAGTTTCCCTCGGTTCGCTTGGGCAGAGCCTCCGCAGCAGATCTGCACGGAGCCCACGACACAGGCCCGGTGTCCCTAGCCCGCCCACCCACCCCGGACCACCGTGCGGAGTCCCGCACGCCTCCCCACGCACTGCGCGCAAGCAGCTGTTGCGCGCGTGCAACAGGTCCGCGGAGCGCAGTCCCCATCCTGCCCGACCGGTGAGCGCGGCCGACAGAGCCAGGTCCAGAGAGCTCCAGAGCTGAGGCCGGGGGTTGCCTCGGCCTGTCTGGCCTGGCCGCCTTCCCAAAGGGCCCCCGCGCGCCGCAGCCCGGCCCTCCGCATCCCGGGCCGCTGCGACCAGCTCCCAGTGGGCGCTCCGCTCCGCTCCCTTCCATCTTGACTTTTGCCGACGTGGAAATTTTGGGTTTGGAGACGACCTGCGCTCTTATTGGCTGCCGGCGGGCGGGGTCGGAGGTCACGGCTGCTCTTGCTATTCCGCGCCAAGGGGAGCCGCAAAACGGCTCGTGTCAAGTCAGCAGGTTCCCTCCGCCTTCCCGGAGTCACGTGCACGCCGGGCGGGACGGGGAACCGCCTCCTTATGCAAATAGAGTTGAGCCCGGAGCTTCGGGTGGGAGGGGGCGGGGCCTGCAGGCAGAGGGGCGGGGCAGGGGCGGGGCCGGATCCGGGCGGGGCGCGCCGCTCCAGGTGGCCACCTGGCTCCAAGTCCGGCCCCGCCCGGCCTCTGGATTCAACCCCCAGGGGTAGTCTGGCTAGACGTGGTGTCCTTCCCTCCCTCGTGCTAGAAGACGCTGAACGCAGTTTTGCTTGCAACCTCTTCCAGGCTGGGCCAGAGCTTGGGCCTGGGTCTCTGATGGGTGGGGGTTGCCTCCTAAGAGAAATGGGAAAAAGAAACCTCGAGTGGGGCACTTTGCCTCCTCCGGGGCTGAGTGTTACAAGAACTGACAGCAAGATTCTCGGTGAGAGAATTCTAGGACAAAGCTCAATCGAGTATTCATCAAAGTTAAAAAGCCACCCCTTTTAATTAGTTCCCACTACCCATCTCTAAGTCAAAGGAGGCCAGGAGCTACCTAAAAGCTTCAAAAAATACCAGTTTGTTTTTTAACGTCTACAGGGACTAACTCAAAGGTCGGTGTGTCTGCACTCTGACCCCTCCTGGACCTGGAACCTGGCTGGAGTCGAGGTCTCCTGCATCCGGAAGGAGACATAAATCAAGGTGCTCAAAACTGCCCATATCCTGGGGGCAAAAGGAAACAATCTGTACTTGGTTCCCCCAAGCAAGCATGGAGGAAGCAGGCTTTTGTAGAAGAAAGGGGATAGACGAGAGACCACATGACTAGATGTCTTCCTTCCCTGCCCCCTCCCCAATAAGAAGCCGGCAATGTCAACGCAAAGACAGAGCCCAGGTTATTGTGAAACCCACAGCCTGTGGCTACCAAAGAAAATGAGCTGCAGCTGTTAAAATATAGATACTTCTCAGAACAGGCCTGGTTTCTCTTTGCGATTAAGCGTCTATATCATCTCTTTTTCCCATCTTAAATCTGGCTGGATGATACAGAAAATGAAAGATAACGTTTTCATGGGAAGATTCTTACCTGGGAAATTCTTCCCTTCCTGTCTTCTTTATTTACTCGTCCCTTCACCCCCTTTCCCCCTATGGGAAGATAAATCCTTGCTCCTTCCAACTGTTTATCCTCGGGGATCTTTCCACTTGCACACTTGCGTGTTTGTCTGACCCTTCCGGGTTTGCGGGGGTGGGGTGGGGGTGGGAGGGGGGTTCGCCCCAGGCATTGTCTCCTCCAGCCCCCCACCCCCTGCTCTGCCAAGGCCTGCCAGCAGTGCTCGTGGGCCTCGGAGTTGGTCCAGGCTCTGCCGCAGGTTCTGTTGTGTGCACTGGAATATTGATTTTTCAGTGTGTGCGCGCCGCTCTGTAAAAAAAAAAAATCAATATTTCAGTAGCTCAAGCACAGCGCAGAGCAGTGTAATGGAGCCGACCAGCTGATGTAATGTGCGGGGGGTCCACCCTCAGCGATTGAGGTCAGTCACAGAACGGCAGTGTGCTTCCCTATTTCATTGTTTGCCTCACGGACAGGGAGGGGGTTGGCCTATGCTTGTGTGCATCAGATGCCAAGCTCCTGAGTAGCACAGGAACCAAGTTAGAAAAAAAAAATAGGTAAAGGTGATGACTGCAAATGTTGTATTACCTTTTATATGAGAACTCTTACATAAACATTAAGCGATGTGAAGTGATTCTTAGCCATCAGTTTACCACATTTCACAATGAGCAAAAGAAAATAGACTTGCTCTAGGACATGCTTTGAGTTTGTCTTAGTACTGCCTATCTGGAAGCTTCTAGCCTTCTGTCCCATAATGTACCTCTGCTCAAAGAGACAACAGATTTTTCACATAGTTTCAAAGGGGAAAGCAGATCAATAAGTGTTGTTGCCTGGGCACTATCTTCATGATCTTAGCAGCTGATGGGGACAGGCTACTGGACCTGAGTGAGGTAAGAGGGTCCTCTAGGCTCTTCCACTAGATAAGCCCCCCACTCTTTCCTGTAACTTAAAAGGTTAGAGTCAGTGACTTCTGAATACCCCTCCAACAACTACAATCTACAAAAGAAAGGATGATATAGCTATACACAAAAGCACAATTATGTTAAGTGTGGATCGTAGATAAGAAAATGGATTAATACCAAGAATATTTTCCAAGCAGAAGGTGAATTGTTCCAACTCTAGTTGTCTTTGATTTAAATTACATTTCATTGCCACCCTTTTGAAGGGTAATTTGGCCATTTTCTAAGATACACTTTTTTTGACCCAGCTTTTCACATTCTAAGAGTTTTCCCCAAAGAAATAATATTACTTAAAAAGAAGTTCATCACTGCAAGTTAAAACACTGGAAACAACAATGTGGAACCTATTACATAAAATACGGTAATGGCATTGCCTTCGGCAGGGTTCAGCTATTTCATAAAGGTGCTGGCTAAGGAGATGTTTGCAGTTATTGATGTGCGCGTGCTCCTGGAATCTCTGTCTGTCCAGGTCCAGTGTCCCAGTGGCCAAGGATGTGGGCTCTGGCTTGGGTTGTAATCCCATCTTCACCACTAGCTAGCCCTGTATCAGCTCTAAATGTGTTTGTTGGTCTCCTGTTGCCGTTGGAGAGCAATGCAGGAACTCACAGACTTGAAGTTGCACTAACAAGCTCTGGTGCTAAGAAGTCCAAAGTGGGTTTCGATGGGAAAAAAGGATGGGGATATCACCACCTGGATAATCAAGAATCATCTCTCCAACCCAAGATCCTCTTGCCATCTCCACGAGAGCCATTAATGTGGCTTTGTAGCCATTGGTGAGCTAAACCCTGCAGGGTTCAGAAAGATCTGCAGGGTTGTGTTTCTTTCAGAGAACTCCTGGAGAAAATTCTGGCCAGTTAGAGTCTGATCACACTTCTTTGGTTTTTAGCTGGCAATGGGATTGAATCTTCCATGTCATTTCCTCTTCCCTTCTGATTATGTTGGGCTCAGATAGGACATTAAGGATAATCTCCTTATTTTAAGGTTAACTAAATATCAAATTTATTTCTATTTGCAACCCTGTATCCTGTCTCAAAAAAAAAAAAAAAAGGACTTGAATCAAATTCTCACCAGGTCAACAAAAAAATGCACGAGTCTGACAACAAAACTAGCCATGGATGACATGCAACAAGGGCATTAAGTGACAGTGGAGCATGAACGACAGCCCCTCATGCCAGCTCCTCACGCCATCAAGATTGGAGCTTAGAAACAGGATGGGGGAGGACAGGGAACAAGTCCCCAGAGACCGCAGACGCTTTGCCATCTGTATAGAGCTTAGGCACGAGCAAAACTAAACGTGCATTCGAGGCCTTCATAAAGAGAAAGCAAAGCAGGAAGGTAGTAATGAGGGCGTCTAGGAAAGTGGTTGGTGGTAGGATGTGGGGAGAAGAGGGTGAGGAGGGAGGCCAAAGGCAGATGCTACTGGTTGCGCTCAAATTCTAAAGCTGGGTGGAACACTTATGCACCTAAGTGTCCACTGTATTTTGTTCCACAAGTACATTTATGGGAGCAAGGGAGAGAAGGGGGCAGTGAAGGGGGAGGAGGGAGGAGAGTGGTCTTACCGGTATCAGCAGTTACTGGCGTCCAGCTATTAGTATTTATTGGTGGAGATGGAATGTGACAGATGCTTTTATCGGGAGGGAAAAATGAAGGAGGGTGGCTGCCTCTGCTTTATCAAGAAGCAGCCAAGAGCTGAGCAGAAGACAGGGTTTATATAGGGTTTCTTGGGGGGTGGAACTTTATAGGATGAAGTTTTCCAGGGTGGGGATTGGTGAGTTTTCAAGTCCTGAATTTGGATTTTTTATTCTGTAGAGGAGAGCTCCCGCTACCTGTTCCTGGAGGGGCTGGGTCCATTAGAGCGTTCTGTGGGCAGACCCTGGAGGTAGGAGGCCCTCAGGGGCAGAGCCTGGAGGGGCTTACAATAATAAGCAACTTGGGAAGGAGAGGGATTATTTCAGCTTACACTTCCACATCACAGTGGCCAAGTGGGCTACTTGACCACACTTGAGTAGCTAAATGAGGTGGCTTAGAATGGAGGAGACTGGTCACCATGGAAGGACCAACCATGTGACTGGGGGGTTGAGGCTTTGAGCACGGTGATATAAATCCACCTCCAGACAAGGGAGAGGAGCTGGAGACTGAGTTCAGTCATGTCCTCAATGTGTCACCCAATCGTGCCTCTGTATTGAAATGCAGTGACGATTAATCTTGATTTTCAGTATATCAAGACTTAGAATCACCATAGAAAGGAACCTCTGGGCATGTCTAGATTAGGCTAGTTAAAGAAGGAAGACCCACCCTAAATGAGGGAGGTACCACTCCATGGGCTGGGGACTAAGACTGAAGACTTTGATCATTCCCACTTAGCTCTTTTCTACCTTGCAGTTGTGTCTCGAGATGTAAGCTCTCAGCTACCATTCCAGCACCATGTCTGCCTGTCTGCTACCAAGCTCCTCACTAAGATAACCATGGACTCTAACCCTCTGAAACCATGAGCATCAAATAAATTCTTTCTTTCATGTGTTGCCTTGGTCATAGTGTCCTATCACAGCAATAGTAGCTAAGTAACTAACGTACACCAAAGGAAGGAGGGAGTACTTGCCTTAGTTCCTCTGGAGGAAGCACAGAACCTTGCTCGGAGCCTTTGAAGATGAATGATATTGAATGTACAGAAATTGTAGTAAAACATGACATTCGTTAAGTAATAAATACACATACACACTTGTGTTAGTCATAAACTAAGATGTTTGGCGTATAAAGAGTAGAGATTTGGACACTTGGCTGTAGAGGTGCTAGCCCATGGCTGGGTAGACTCATGGCTTTTGGCTCTCTGGAGGAGTACGAGATGGCAATTACAGCGAGTGCATAGTGAAAGAAATTGCTCAAATCAGGGTTATGAAGCAAAAGCACAGCTAGGAAGGAGCCAGTATCCCCAAATCCTTTAAGAATGCGTGCTTATAATAACCTACTGTTGTCTCTCTAGGCCCCACCTCCTAAAGATCCCGGAATTACCACTGTGGATCACAATCCAACAACGGAGGCTTTGGAGGGTCACTCAACATCCAAATGAAGGCAACTTCTCTATGATGGAGCACAAATCCTGTTTCTTTGACTGGCAGGTAAGTTGAGGCACTCTTAGCGATTTACCAACTTGCCAGAACCTACACAGTTAGGCTTAAACCCAGAAAACAGGACTCAGTGCATTCATCTGATTCTGAAATGGAACCCTCTTGGAGGAAGGAATAGCAGAAATAGATGGGGACGCACTATAGGCACAAGGAACTAGGAATAGCATTAGATGGGTGAAGGCTAGTTTAAAGCCTGGCCTTGCTTTAACGGGCAGTGAGAAACCAAAGGTTATTCATGGTAGAGTTATGTAGAGGGCTTCTGGACTTCAGGAGACTACAGCAATGTGAACTACCATTTTAAAACATGGTCCCACCTTCCATCCAGGCAGCTGCTTTCCCCTCCCGAAGGGTACATCGCTTTCTATCTGTGCCTATGCTTTGGCATACACTCCACATGCCAAAGAGCATCTATGTCACTCTTATTTCTTAATCCCCCATGGAAATTGGCTTAATACTCAGTTCATGCACTAAAGACTTTGCTGAATAAGTGGGTATTAAACTACGTAAAACCACATCAAATCATTGATATTTGACCCTTTTGACCTACAAAACAGCAATTCATTATGGCCTCATTCTGTTTTAAGAGTTGTGTTACAGTCATGCTACAGAGGTAGACTAATAGCGAAAATTCAAGACCACACAATGAAAGGGGCTAAAGTGGCAGTTAGACACCGTAAGGACAATGTACAGATCGAAACTAGAATGAAATACGGACATATATAGTCATATATATGAGAGCCGTGGAAGCCTGTTGACAGGTTTTCTCTACAAGGATTAGAACCATGCAGGCTGATAATGAGGTCAAATCATAAGCTCAAATTCTATTTGAAATGGGTTTATAAGCTTCAGATAAAACTCAGTACAGTAGATCCAATATGAATGGAGGAGACAGGGAAACATGACAATAGAAAACCCTTATCCAACAGAACAGAGCTTTATGGGGATTCTTTCCCAACGGTCGAGCAAAGGTCATTTTTAGGCTTCAACCAAGAAAATTGTAAAAGTTGAATATGGATGACATTAGAGACAATGTTCCCTCAAAGGGAGAAGACAAGCTTACATAGGTGTCATTTCTGTCTTAGGATTTCTATTGCTGCGATGAAACTCCATGATGATAAAGCAATCTAGGAGGGAAAGGGTTTATTTGGCTTACACTTCCGTATTGTTGTTCATTAACGAAGGAAGTCAGGACAGGAGCTCAAACAAGACAGGATCCTGGAGGCAGGAGCTGAAGCAGAAGCCATAGAGGGTGCTGCTTACTGACTTGCTTCCCCTGACTTGTTCAGCCTGCTTTCTTATAGAACCTGGGACCACCAGCCCAGGGTTGGCACTGCCTGTCATGGAGTGGGCTCTCCCCCATCAATCCCTAATTAAGAAAAAATGCCTTACATTGATGGGTGTCGTTGGCATGCACCTTTAATCCCAACACTGAGGAGGCAGAGGCAGTTGGATCTCTGAGTTTGAGGGCAGCCTGGTCTACAGAGTAAGTTCCAGGACAGACTCCAAAGCTACACAAACCAAAAAACCAAAAAAAAAAAAAAAAAAAAAGAAAGAAAAAGAAGGAAGGAAGGAAGGAAGGAAGGAAGGAAGGAAGGAAGGAAGGAAGGAAGGAAATGCCTTATGGCTCGATCTCATGGAGGCATTTCCTCAACTGAGGCTCCCTCCTTCCTGATAACTCTAGCTTGTGTTAAGCAGCCTGTACACCTTCTTAAAGCAAGAGAATTATCTACATTCATCCCTAGTCCCCCTTGAGGTCTCTCCCTGAGCTAATGGCCTTTCCTATACAGGGCCAAGAATCAAAGTTACACCCCAAAGGATAGCCATGGCCTGTGCAGTTTAAGGGGAGGAAGGGGTCAGTAAGTGGAGTCCCACGTGGGAGTAACTGAACCCAGTGAGCCTGTCTTATCTTGTGTGTTTGTTCAGTGTAATAGAGGAACAGAGCATAAGGAAGTTTATTCCTGAAGTAACTCAGACCTGCTTGTTTGCTGACTCTTCTGAAGCAGCCCTACCACAGGGAAGGGTTTTTCCAGAAGGTTCTATACAAAACAGAGTGCTCTAAACTGCTTGTTCAGGGAAGATTATTGTACCCGGCTATAGGAAGTCGATGCTCGGAGCTGGGAGGGAGGACCATGTGACTTTCAGATCTGTACACAGAGGGCATATATAGTGTGACGAGAAAAACCATTCACCAGAGAAAACATGTTGATCGGATGTACCTTCTGTTTACAAACCACACGGAAATTCCTTGACCCTCTCAGGCGATTTCGCTTTCTCCACACAATTCCATAACCATTGCTTATGAGACTCCTCCGGTACTAATCGTGTTAGCATTCTACAGCCCAGCCTACTAACACTCTGTAGAAGTCTACGGGGGCCCTCAGAGGTCCTGAGAGAGTTGCCTTCCACCTGCCAGGGACCACACATACTTCCTCACCATCTTTGACAACCTTCCATCCGTCCAGGACTTGTCTGCTAGAATCATTCTTTTTTTATGCCAGGTTTGGTTCTGACCCTGGGAGTCTGCTTGACCAGGCAAGGGAGACTGTACTCTTGAAACCAGGGCTCCAGATGCTGGGTCTTCGTAGTCACTGGGGACAGTTGTGCATAATGGTCCCCTGCCTGGCACTGAAGTCTATGACTTGAGTCCCCTCTGTCCCTCCTCCTAACTTGAGGAAAACCTGTTTCTCTTGCAGTTTTCTCTTCCAGGGCACATCGGAAGCTGACCTGAACCTCTAGAAACCGAAGAGACCAGGCCTTCATAAGGAGAGCATATTGGGGTGCTCTGCCCTGTTTTCCAGCCCACCTGCTGTCTGGGTTCCATTTCTAGCCTCCTCTGGAGGTCAGGTTTCGACCAGGTTCATTTCCTGGACCCTCATCACTCACTCCTCATACATACACTTATTTTCCTCCTTTAATTTAAAACTATCTTCATTTTTAATTACTTGTGTGAGTGTGAGCTTTTGCACATGAGCACAGTGCTTGTGGATGGCAGAATAGGGTATCAGATCCACCTGAAATTAGAGCTCACAGGCTGGAACTCTCCTAATGTGGGTGTTAGGATCTGAACTCGGGTCCTCTGGAAGAGCATCAAGTGCTCTTAACCACTGAGCCCTCTCAATCCCCTCATCTTTAACTTTGAAATAATACGGACACCACTTTTGAAAGTGCATGAAATGACACACCCAACCAGCACTCAGAACTCATCGAACCCCTTGCCTCACAGCTTGCCAGCCGACGTCTGACTCGCCGTGCGTTCTGTGTCTTATGGTCGCCGCTGTTCCCAGGCCATGGGCTCCCTGAAGACAGGATTTCTTCACTGATACACCCTCAAGATAGCACCACGGACATGCACTGTGGAGGCACTGTGTGCAACACTGGAAGGTAAAATGAAGGGAATGAAGAACAAGCTTGCATGTATCGGCTTTTACGATTTGTTTTTGTCTTGTGTTTTTGTTGTTGTTGTTGCTTTTGGTGAAACTGAGATTGTTTAAAGGTTTGGAGAACTCCCCAGGAAACCCTGGGACTGTTGGGAACATACTGATCCTGACCACCAGTGTAGTAAGGGGGGAAAAAGAACCTACTTTTGCCTTTAAATATATACTGCAGCCTGACATTCTTTGTGGAGATTTTCTATATATAGAACCATCTTATTTAAGGCTAAGTTAGGTCATCAAACTCCGGGTTCTCATTTCTTTGTACGATGTGCCCCAACCACCAGTGACTTCACGTACCTCTTAATTTGATTATCATTCTGGACAAGGCTCACCTTCACCATAGCACACATTCCTTCTTTTAGGCAGTAACATTTTCAATGTGGAGTAACAAATCCGATGATACTTTCTAAGAGCTAAATGAGAAGAAAGTTTGTTTCCCTCAAACAGTACAAGAACAGGGACAGGGACAAGGAGCTGGACCCTGAGTTTACCTTCATTTAACCTGTCCCAACAGTTCATGTGTCCTAATGCCATTTCCTTACACTCTGAAGCTCAGAGGGGAGTGTCTGACTTGCTAGTGCCACTCAGTCTTGCTTTAGAGCACCAAGAGTAGAGGTAACCTTCTGGAGTTCTGACTATCAGATAGTGGGAGGCACATCAGCAGACGCAGCCCTCTGGCTTATTTCTGCTCCTGCATGAAATTTGATTGTGAGGTTTACCCTACCTCACCCCCCCCCCAAAAGAAATGAAAACCCTGTCAAACTGATGCAGAGCTGGGGATGTTCCAGACACTCAGCCTTTGCCCCTCTCACTTGGAACCTGGACTTTCTCCAGGCAAGACAGCCACCACTCTCCTCCTCCAGGAACCACTTTGGACAAGTTTTCCTCTAGCCCAGCCACGGGGTTTTGCCAACAATAGTTTATCCTTGGAGCCACTGCTAGCTCATATGGCCCATGTGCCAATCAGAGAAAGATACCATTTCATGTTGGCGAGTCGGGAAAGATGAGATGACACTAAGGACATCTTTTTATTCCATTTAGAAAGAAACTTAGGGCAAGAAGGACACTTGTCTCCCCTCCTTGCAGGCCCATACCCATAGCATGAAACAAAAGACGAATCTGGCACTCAGAAAATGTGTTGCTTAGTCTAGTTGCAAGATGTATCCTGTAAAACGGTGGTGAATGTTTTCCTTCAGGACTAAATCTCTTCCAGAGCAGAGGAACCAGGTCAACAATCTGTGCGAGAAGTATGTGTTTTGCTCTCCAAGTGCGTGATCTACAGGTTGCCAGCCAGTCATCGATCGCCTAAGTTTAAAGACGGCTGGTTGATTGATGATGATGGTGATTCATCCCGGGGGCTCAGGGGGGAAAGCACAGCGATGCTTTCTCTCTCCGTGTGTGTGTGTGTGTGTGTGTGTGTGTGTGTGTGTGTGTGTGTGTGTGTGTGCGAGAGAGAGAGAGAGAGAGAGAGAGAGAGAGAGAGAGAGGAGAGAGACAGAGACAGAGACAGAGAGACAGAGACAGAGACCACCGAGGAGAGCACGTGTTGTTTGTCTCTGCTTCATACCCTTGTGGAGGGAGACAGTGGAGGAAAGAGAGGAAGAAAGGAAAGAGACGATTGCTACAAGTGTCTCAGCAGTCCTCTGAAAGAGCAGTCTAGAGGTCTTGGAGACCCTCTTCCCTGGCCTTGGCGGAATAGGCAATAGAGCCCACACTCCCTCCTGGGAGGGTACCCAGCCTGTACCTGAGCTCTTCCTCATGGTAGTGTGAAGGCCCTTTTACTTTCTTCTCAACCCTGCTCTGAGCACTTTGTTCATAGATACTAATGTATGGCGAGGAGTGCTGCCTCAGGGAACCAGGCTCTGAACTAGAAGGGACCCCGGATATAATCTCCTGCAGTGTTTTCAAACTTTTTAAACTTCGCTCCAGAGCTGAGGTGAATTTTCACATGACAGTCATATATATGGACATACCTGTATATGCATGTCTGAAACAAAAGCTTTCGGAAGTAACGCGTCACATACACAATATGCACCACAACATTTTTATTCTGTTCTTTTTGATGTTGACTGGAATTCACTGAGTTGTCTTTGTGATTTCTAATGAGTCAAGGATGACAGTTTGATACTCACTCATCCATGCCAATTGTCTTGGGTTTCAGAGCAGGAAATTGAAGTTAAAAAAGGTTTAGTGACCTAGCCAAGGACACGCTGCTCCTACCTAGTCTTAGAGCCAGTATAGAACACACGGAGCCAGATTGTATACTTAATAATAATAAAATAATTAATATTAATTTTTACTAATAAGCTCTCTTCTTGAAAAGCAATGTCCCAACACTGTGAAGGGTACACAGCGTAAACTACAAAAACACAGATTGTTTTATTGATGGAAAATGAAAGCCACCCCAAAGTAAAACTAGAGGATCTCTTTTCCCTGATCCTCATGTACATATCATTTTCAGTTTCAAACTCAAATGTCAAGAGAGCTGTCTATATAAATATATGTAGAGAGAGTCTGTTTATTTTACAAATGTTTTCAATTATGCCTGTAATTTGGCTCCAATATGCTAGCTCGGTGTAAATGTCTCTTCCCTGACTTCTCTAAAGGAAGAGGCAAGACTTGCACAGCCGGTTCTTCCAAAAATGGTGGGCTATGTCTGCTTGGTCACAGGAGGGTCCCCCTTTGTGACGAGAGGGGATCTCTCTCTCAGTTGCTTCTCAGCTGCACACTTAGAGGCTGGGCTAGGTCTGCATCTGAAGTAGGAGGTCTCATGGTGTGAGTCCAGAACATTCTGGGCAGAGCTCATCAATCCCGGAAGCCATCCTTCTTAGACAGTTCCCCCACTCCAGGCACACAGTCACTGCAGCTGCCTGAGTCTCACCAAGCCTGAAGGAGCAACGTTTCCATTAACCTGCATTAGTCCGTGAGAACGCAGCCTCGCTGTTAGTAACTGGCATACTTTCCTTTGATAAAGGCATGGGTGCCTTCCTGCTCTCCCTATTTTTAGCCTGTTTTGAAAACGTCTCCCTTGGCCAAAGCAAACACATCCTCCAGCCCCTAGTCCTGCCCCTCCAGCATCAGGACGGGCTGCAAGCCTGCCCAGGCTGTGGGATGGAGGCTTTTGTGTTCTTTCGTTTCCATTGCTGTGATACCGGTTCACTGATCCCTATGTCAGCAGAGGAAAGCAGCCTTGACCTTTTACAACAATTGGCCTCTGTCTTTTCATTGGCTCTCTTCACTCACTGGGACCCGTTGGGATCACCTCAGGGGCCCCTTTCAACCTACCCTGAGAAATGGCAAGAGAGCAGAAAGTGACAGCACAGGAAAGGTGCAGAATCTGGGGACGCACTGGCATGGGTGCTGGCACTTTCCGTTTGCAAATGTGAAAATGTCACAGGTCGTTTCTGAGCGCATTCCAGCTGGAAGCTAAGAGCACTCTGAGGGAACATATGGAGCCCAAGTGCAGAAGCCCTGAAAATTAGGCATGAAAGTTGTGTATGCAAAACGGCCACGGAAATCCCTGCTCTGATCATTGTGAATGGCTCTGGGGTGCGGGGCGCACCTTCTGAGCTCCACAGTCCCTTTCCATAAACCCTCTCCCCCCCTTAACACAACGGAGGTAGTGCCTGCTCCCAAGCCCTTACCGCTCAAGAATGGCTACCTGAGAAGTGCTCCTCACTGAAGAGACAGGAAGGACAGGCCAAAGAGTGTGATTGTAACATTTAAAACTCAGTTTTAAAAATTGGCATCTTGTCGGGTGGTGGTGGCGCAAGCCTTTAATCCCAGCACTCGGGAGGCAGAGGCAGGCAGATCTCTGTGAGTTCGAGGCCAGGATGGACCGACAGCCTCCAAAACAATACAGAGAAACCCTGTCTCGTAAAAAACCAAAAAAAAAAAATTGGCATCTCTTCATACTGTCAAAAGATACAATACAGGGCAGAACCGTGCTTATTTTGGCAGACACATGGGCAACTCTTGCAATGGGCAGGTATCCATAGTGTGCATACTTCTGACAAATACAGTGTGCATTGACCCCTGTGCCTACAGAGAAATCAGCAGTCACAAAGCCTCATTCCCTCGTCTTTTCTCTTGTTGCACTTTCCCCCCCAAAGACTGGCGTAGAAATCGCCATGAAATAGAGAATAGACGTTCATTCCTGGGGGGGGGGTAGCAACTGTCACATCTGGGGAGAAAGACGCACTATGCAACCTCTGCTTCATTCCTTCTCTCCTCCTCAAGTGATGCAATGTAACACCCCACAGCGCAATGTGGTGTTTTGGAGGAAGATAGTCATCATGGTGGGGAGTGGCCCATAAGTTGGATCTCCTGCTGACATCAAGCAGTTCAAATGACATTGAAAAATGGGGTTGGGGGTGGTCTCTGAGTTATTTCCAAAATATGATCTTTGAGGAAGTCATACTGTCTCCTTTTGTCTCTCTCTTCACGATCCAGTTCATCCCCAGAAGACTGACACACTAAAGAACCCAGGACAGAAACGTGAACAAAATACTTTCTTTAGTATCAATGTCCAAATGAAAGCCACCAGGAGGAACACGAGCCATGCTGGTTTTTTTTAAAGTTTTATTTATTTATTACGAATACAACACCCTGCCTCCATGTACACAACAGAAGAGGGCACCAGATCTCATTACAGATGGTTGTGAGCCACCATGTGGTTGCTGGGAATTGAACTCATGAGCAGTCAGTGCTCTTAACCTCTGAGCCATCTCTCCAGCCCACCATGCTGGTTTTAATAGTCTCTGTAATGACTTGTGACTGTGGTTACCTCAGCCTTCACTGATGGAGTATGCTCAAAATTCACTTGCATGTCTAGAATATAGAGTGTCGAGTTTGCCATCCATATGCATCCTTGGTTCCCACACAAACTCATAGATATCTAGGTGTGTAGCTTACTGATGGTGACAAGAGAGGCGGCATATGCAAGAGTCACAGAGAAGGAATTGGACCCGGGAAATCCATCTGAAATCAAAACAGCCTCCTGTCAATCAATCCAGAAAGATGCAACAAAGGACAGAAGGCAGGAGAGGGAGGAAGAGGGAAGGACGGGGAAGTGGGGAGGGGAAGGAAAGGGAGATGAGGTGGCCTTCAGTAATCAGTACTTGCTGATGTTCACATCCCAGGGCTCACTTTTGGAGCATGAGGTGGACATACCATTATCTCATTTCTAACCCATGGAATTCCTGAGACGTGACAGGACACTGCTTCATCCAAGGCCAGGCATTAAAGGCAGCTTTGGTTCAGCCCTGGGTCATTTCAGTTTTCCTCCAGTCAAGAAGCAAAACACGGTTTTCAGGACTCAGCAAAATGTAGCTGCTGCTGGAAGATGTCGAGGCCACCCAGGAGTCAGCAGGAGTGGGAAGGTGCTATCCAAATGTGGAGAGACAGGGAGACTTGAGGGTGTGGCCAGAGGCTGTGAAAGCTGGACAGAGGGACCTTTGCCTGGGGTCTGGAACTATGGGCACTGACACAGGTGTTAAGACAACAAGGCCAAGATCAAGGGGAGACAAGAAAGTCAAGGTCAAGAGAAGACAAGAAGACTGAGGGTTCTCTCTTCTCCCTACAGCCCCTGTTTAGCTACTACTCTGGCCAAACCTGTCCCCAAACCAGCTGATGCAGGATCCTAGGGAGCGCAACCCTCTGGACTCAGCCTCCTTCAAAACAAAGGAGAGCTGGGGGGACAAGAAATATAGGGCCAAGCTCCCAGCCACTCCATGCACAATAGCCAGCTAGCAAAAAAAAAGAAAGAATAAAATCTAAGCTAAATATTCACAGATACAACAGGAAGGAGCTGCCTACTACCTCTGAGCACAGGGCCTAGCTGGGGTTCCATGAAAAAAACTAAACTATATTACAACAGAACAACACTCCTGGTCAACAGCACCACGTGCATGACACCACCTACCAAGCCTCTGGTCCAGAGATGGAGAGACACCTCAAGGATCCAGAGATGGGACAGTCCGCACTGACCTAGAATCTGTTGGGTTGGGAACTAGAAAGAAGGAGAGTCAGGGTTAATTGGGGTTTCTGGAGCCTAAATGAAGAAGGGAGAGTTGGGGACTGAAGCCATATTTGAAGTATTAAAAGAAACAGAACAGGTCATATTGAAGACCTGGGGAAAACCAGGCCAAGCACCACCTTCAGGCATATGCAGGTATTTGGGAGACACACACACACACAACTCCAACACCACCGCCACCATCACAGTTAAAAAAAAAAAAAAAAGAAACCTAAGGAAACCACACCCCCTTTTGTGGGGGAAGGTAGCAGATGTGAGTGACTGTTGACCTTGGAGGGCTCCTCTGGGTCAGAAGCCAGACCACAGGGTGTTTCCTGACCACATGCAATACTGTTAAGTTCAACAACGAATGGGAAGACAAAACTCAAGCCTACAAGGTGGCAAGAACCTGGTTTGAAAACAGGGCAATGAGAGAATAGTGGCACTGTCGAGGCCAAGAATCTGAACCGTGATGGTCCTCCGTCAGTCTGCAAACCCCTAGAGGTAGGAACTTGTGACACACATGTCCTCACACTGAAGAGCCTTGGAAAAAATCTGGCCCATAGAGGTGCTTCATGAACAGCTGCTAAGTTAGTGAATCGGCCAACATGAAACCTCAGCATATTAGAGAAGCAGAAGCACCCAGAACTTTGAGAAGATGCTCTGAGGTGATGTGGCAGCGTGGTGGCCCTCTGGAAAACCCCAGCAGCAGCCAGAACCGTGTGGGCAGCTGCCACCCGAAAATGAGATGGTTCTTTTAGGGCAAATGTGCAGAGTCATAAATAGCTTAGACCTATGCAAATTACCACAGCTGCATAGGTCTGCAGAGGGCTGGAATGTGTACTCTGCTCAGAACACTTTCCGGCCCACTCGGCTCTTCCAGTGAGCACCCTCCTGCAGCCAAGTAGGCTGCCACATCGAGGACAGCCACTGCACAGAGCAGCTTTTCATTAGACCACGTCCTGCGTAAGGATGCTTTAAGCCTCAAATGCTATTTGCCTAGTGGCAGTGTCCCAATTTATGGGATGATGCCATTGCAAAATGACCCCTGCGTAAAATCATCAGGTCGCACGTGACATCTGTGTTACTTAATCTTCACTTCCAGCTTAACTGAATTTGAAGTCCCCTATGAGACCCACTCCCAGGCGTCTGTGAAGGTATGTCCAGCAAGGCTTAGCTGAGGAGGGAAGACACCCCCCCAATGTGGGTGGCACCATCCTTTGGGCTGGGGGACGGCAAGCAAATGTAAAGGGAAAATAATTCAGGCCAGCCAGCAGAACACCGGTGTCCATCTTTCTACAACCAGGCTGCAAACATAGTGCCACGACCTGCTTTGCAGGCCTTTCCTCCACCTTCCTGCCCCATCATAAAGGACGATATCTTCCCTTAAGCTGTGCGCCAAAGAAGACCAACCACAAACCTCCCTCCAGTTGCCACTGCTGGGTATTTATTTCACGGCAGTGAAAAGGGTTGTCAGTACAACATCTTTAATTTGGGAAATTTTTAGCAGGACCCTCAGTAATTAAGCACATAAAACCTCCTTCATATGGGTGTGCTAGCAGGGAAAACAACCACCTACAGTGTTAGCGTCTTAAAGCCTCTAACCAGGGCCAAGACAAAGATGAATCCTTAACAAGTCCAGTGAGAAGACTTAGCTGCTTTTTAGTATTCTGAGAAGAGGAGGAGGGTGGGGAGGAGAAGGTAAAAGGAGGAGGGAGAAGGGGAGGAGGAGGGGAGGAGAAGGAGAGAGGGGAGGACAAGAGAGGGAGGAGAGAGGGGAGGAGGATGGGGGAGGAGCACCTCACTCGTAGTTATCTCAAGTTTCCTTTCCTGTTGCCAAGAATCTAGTTCAGCACTGCCTGACGCACACATTCAAATATCTGTCAAATGCAATGATCCCATTAGAAAGCTGTGACAGTTCTCTAACTCAGATACTTTAAAGTAAACTTTAAAGTACAGCTCATACTTAGCTACAATAACAATGGCAACAGTTACAACAATTACTACTAAAAAGTGGTCCAGTGGGAAGTAAGTCCTAGGTGAGTTCTAGAGACCCTGGAAGTTACAATGCATCGCTTTGCTCCCCCGCTGCACCCAGTGACAATTCACAAGCCACACTTAGGAGACGTTGGTTAGCTGTAATCCAAACCTCAGCCGCATTTTATTCATCTATTCTCTATTTTTTTCTTCAAAAAAGAATGGAGGTGACTTTCAGAAATATATCCTCCATCAAAATATGATTTATAAAAAGCATAGTTTACTAGAGTTGCCATGACAGGGTTGGGAGGCTTATAAACATACTTGTTGTCATGGTTCTGGAGGCAGGGAGCCAAGACAAAGATTTGGTCAGGGTCCACTCACGACTGTCTGTAACTCTAGCTCTAGGGGATCTGAGACCTCTTCCGACCTCTCCGACCTCTTCACGCCCCTGATGCGCTCAGGCACACGCACATACACATAACATAAAATAAATAGTTTTGAAGGAGACAGGAGGATGGTGCATGGAAACTGAGCACACATATGATCTATTCTCCTAAACTTTTGTGAAACAACAGCGTAAGGCTGTGGAGACAGCATGGCTGCTACAGCACTCGTCACACGAGCATAAGGACCTGAGTTTGGATCTCCAGAGTCCACGTGAAAAAGCCAGGTACTGTAACACACACTTGTAACCCCAGTGCTGTGGAGGTAGAGACAGGGAGATCCCCCGAGGCTCACTGGCCAGCCAGCCAGCTTAGTGTGATCAAGGCCTGTGAGAGACCCTGTCTCAGGGGAAAGATGGACTGCGTCTGAGGAACAGCGCCCAAAGTTGTTCTCGGCACCAATACCTGCCGAGGCTGGACACATATGAGTCAGGATCATGAACTGAAAGCTCTGGGTTAGGGGCTGAGGAGCCCTCTTCATCTGCTTGGGCTCAGAACACCAGCAACAGGAAGTACAAAGCCAGGTGGAGGGGAGAGCTACACTAGAGCTCTAAACAGCACGGGGAATAGCCTGTCCAACTGATATCCATGGTCCCCAAAGAAGGCTGGTTACCATCTCCTTATTCTACACTGTTCTGTTTCCAGAACATAGAGTGAGGGTCCAACCTCTCACTCTTATAGATAAAAGGACAACCAAGCACTAGGATAAGCCCAGGCCCTGGGGCCCTAAAGACTAGGCTGACAAAGGGACCTAGAGAACACAAACAAACAAAGACAAAACTGCAAAGAACGCCCTTTAATGTTATAATCAGTGTCCTCTGTGAGATAGGAAAGAACAGATTCTAATGAGGAGAGAACGGAGGAGCAGGAGAGGCATCCTCTCCACTGAGACCGTGAACACAGAACCCACCCAGAGCATTCAGCAATAAAGACGAAAAAATCCTTTAGAAAGCAGAAGGAAGCATCCAAATGTTAGAAAAGAAAACTTTTGAAATAAACTGTGGACTCTGGCCAGAGAGGGAGGTAGGCTAGCTGCAGATTTTCAACTCTTCCTCGGTTCCTCCCAAACCAATCCCCAGGCTTAACCCCAGATCTCTAACAGATCACCTGC